GGGGGGGGCCCTAGAATAATGTCTAGAGATTTGAGGCTTTAAATCTTTATTCCTTTTCTTTGCCTTTTGATTTGCTTTACTTACCATTGAAATTGCAGGTCTTTGGATTTAGATTTCCATTGAAATCTAAAAAGTTCGTTCTATGTCCATTGATTCATTCCCTTTTATTCTATAATTAATATTCCAGATGTCTTCAAAGTCAGGTTTCTTGATTCCTTTTATTTTAATATTGCCAGAGTAGCTCCAGAGGTAGCTAGCTAAGGATTCCTTATTTATTTATCAATTGATTGTTTTTCTAGCATATTATTCTAGAGGCCCCAATTGTTGAGGGGGGGGGGGGATGGGGGGGTTGATTAATCAAGAGTCAACATGAGCGTCCTTGCTCCTAGTAGTTGTTGAAATACATCACCTAAAGCTAAGCTTTTACGCACCATGCCAATTCTTGGCTCAAGCACGCAGCTCATCGCGACAAAAAGGAGCGCTAGCAGTTGCAGCTTAGCGGAATTTGACTGTATTTTAGTGGTTGAGCCTGAAAATACAGGTTATCAGCCGTAGCCTCTGCCATGGCTACAGACGATGGTGTGAATGCCGCGCTTGCCCTCATCCCATACACCGGTGACGCTACACAGGCCGCCGGGGGCAACCTCGTGCCCGAAGATGTTGTCATGGGATCTGAAGGCGTTACGGCATATTTCCAGTTCATTCAGAACAATGTTCATCAGATTGCCTCAGGAAATGAGGAAGCCGTTCGCTTCGAAGCAGAGCAAAGGCATCGAGAGATCATGCAATCAACGATTCAAGCCTTAGGCTCACAATGTAGGGTTGCGATCGATCAAGCAAGGGAAGTCTGCAATAAGCAGATTCTGGCTATGCAAGGTCGAATCAACTTGCTAGAAGGACAGCTGGCTGAAAGTCAGGCCAAAGTCGCTAGCGCAGACAGCCTACATCAAAAGAGAATGTCGGAGCAGAAGGCGGAAGCAGAGAAACTTCATATGCAGAAGATGAACGACAAGATGAGGGAGCTGGAGTCTATGTTCGAGAAGATGGTAGAGGACGCTTCTAACAAAGCTAGAGCACTCCTTGAAGAAGAACGTAGGCAACACCAAAGTATGGAGACCGAGTGGGCTGAGCAGAAAGAACGTCTTGAACAGGAATTGCAAAAGGCGTCAGAGACTAATGCATTACTGCAAGACCAACTCGATGGACTGATCCCAGGGCATGAAGCTGAAGCGCCGCAACACCTGCCTGGTACGGCAACACCAGTGCTATCCGAGCCAGCAGGCCGCGAGGCTTTGCCCCAACCGATAGAGATCGACTGGAAGGCGAGGCTAGATGCAAAGTTTGCCCAGAAACTTGGTGATTTCTATCCATCGAGAGCGACTGCAACAGCACCACTCCCTGCAGCGTTGGAGCCTGCCCAAGGCAAGGACGAACAATTCGTCGATGCTCGTGAAACGGCCGACGAACGTATGTCTCACGTTGGCGATGGAGGAGTCGATGGCAAAGTCCCGGCTTCTTCAGGCGATGCCACCGCGCTGATGAGTGGTCTCGCGGAACTACTCAGAGAAATGAAGTCCAAGAAAGACGATGAAGGCAAGCCAAGGGTCAAAGAAGCCGATGCGATTGCCATACCGGACATGCCCACACCCGAGACTTACCGCCAATGGAAGAATTTGGTCCGTGAGCTTGTTCGATCGTCGTCTGACAAGCCCGATGAAGCATGGGAGTGGATCATGGAGGTTTGGGATCCTAAACCTTCCCGTGTTGAACTCGAGGCAAAGCTCCAAAACCCAGGAAAGTTCGTGACCTTGGACACGAAGCTCACCGCTGCTCTCACCAAGTCAGCCCGCGGCGACCTGGGAAACAGAATCCTTAACCATAAGGAAGAGCAGGCGAAGAAGGGAAATCAAACCAGAGGTCGAACAGTTCTTCTCATGTTTGATGACTACTTCAAAACGTCCGAGGAGGCAGGTACTCTCTACTCACTAGAAGACCTTTTAAAGGTAGCGAAGTTTGGGGATACAATTGCTGACCTAAAGAAATTCATCAATCGCTGGGATGCTGTGTTGGCCGGTATGAAGAAGGAGCCCGAAGAAACAGTCCTTCGTGATGTTTTGCTCCGTCAGATCCGTCCCAGCACGCTACTCAAGTATGACATTGACACCTATGATCGGGCTAAGGAAGGCGACCCAAGTAAGACGTATTCGTTCCTTGTGAAAGCCATCCGTGACCTGATCGACCGTGAAAGGCTTAGGGAGAATCGAGATCGAATTGTCGACAAGAATCAACCAAAGCCAAACAATCCCAAAGACAGGGCAGGACTACCCGTTGTGCCTCCAGCCAAGAGGGAGAAAACGCCCCCGAGGGGAAGAACTCCTGACAAAAAGAAGATTCCATGTAGGGACTTCGTGAAGGGGAAGTGCGCAAAGGGAAAAGATTGCCCATACCGTCATGACAAGAAGGATAGATCACCTTCAAGACAAAGGACACCTCGCGTGCCCAGTCGTGACCCGAAGAAAAAGCTCAACAAAGAGGAAATGGCAAAGACCCCATGCATCTACTTTGCACGAGGGGATTGCCGCCGTGGGGACAAGTGTCTGTATCTGCACGAAAAGAAAAGTGCAGCTGCTCCGAAGGACCCAGCTCGGCCGAATTCTCCGAAGCCCAAGAAGGAGCCAAAGCCGAAGAAGTCGGCTACTCCCTGTGTTCGATCAAGCTATGCATGCAGCGCCACTCGCCGCAAGCTCGGTTCGTATCGTAGCCCAACAAAAGGAAGGGCAGCACAGCGTGAGAAACATGTTACCTTCGATAAAAGGGTAGGAGTAAAGAAGATAAATGCTTTCGGCCGATGCAACTCAGTCATCCATGGTCCTAGGAAGTATGATGATGTCCTCACTACTGCCGAAGCAGCAAAGAAGTCGGACCCAATCCATGTGTTGAATGCCAAAACGGCAGCCAGAAAATTGCAAGAGGCTGTGAAGCAGTTCGGAAATCTGGTTCAACCATCATGTGGTTTCAATTGTGTTGATGACCTTGAAAGTCTAACTTGTAAGTGTTGTAGGAATCTGCTAGCACCATGCAAGATCAACATTGTGTTGATGCCACCAACCGTCGCCACGCCTGCGCCAAAAGGTCGCCATCAATGGCTTATAGACTCTGGAAGCGAGCAGGACCTGATTAGCGAGTCCATGTTGTCCCAAGTCGGAGCTTATAATAGGCGTAGCACGGAACAACCGATCAGTTTTATCACAGCGAATGGCTCAACACAGTCCAACGCAGTTGCTGAAATCGATCTCAACACACTGCCAGGGTCCATCACTCCCTACATACTAGAGCAAACACCGTCGGTCCTTTCGGTTGGCACGAGATGCATGGACCAGGGGTACAGCTTCGTTTGGCCGGCAGGGTCGTCACCGTTCCTCGTTCGTCCAGACGGAAAAGCAGTCGTCCTGAAAGTTGATGGTCATGTTCCCATTTTGGATGATTCATGTCCAGTTGTCAGCACAAAGTCTTTCAGGCCAGCCAAGGTTCGCAAGCTTCTAGCTTTGCCCGGCGTTTCCAAGCCTATCAGGGACGAAGAAGAGGGAATCGATGAAGGTGTGAATCCAGATGATGAAGAGGTAGTAGCGGTGAGGAGCAGAAAGTCAGCCGACCTCATCGTCGAAGCCCAGTCGTCCAAGCACCAATTTCTTCACTTCCCCAAGAACCCATTCTGCCGCACGTGCCAAAGGGCGCGTATGCTTGCACCATATGCCAGACCCAAGGGCGGACAAGCAAGGGTTGACACAACTCGGTTCGGAGACCATATCATTGCCGATCACGTGCTTATCAGAGCAAACGTAGAAGAAGGCATGAAAGGTGAGAAGGTCGCGTTGGTCATCAAAGACATCCATACGCAGTTCCGGTATGTGTACCCAAGCCAGTCTCGATTCGCTGAAGATTGCACCTTCGCCATCAACCACTTTGTCAATGGAAAAGGTGATGTTGAGGTGATCTACACGGATAATAGTCGGGAACTGAAGGCCGCAATTAAGGAACTTGGCTATAGGCATCAAACGTCAATAGAGTACGTGGACTCCAGCAAATCGTTCGTGGAACGCGAAATACGACAAAT